GGCCCGGGACCAGGGCTTTGAATGTTGCTCCCTCCATGGGGACGAAGCGTGTGGCCTTGAGATCAGGGTGGAGAACCAAGACCCTTGCAGACTACAGCCTCGTGAAAGGCGAAAGCAGAAGACATATGGAGTTCCTGAACAGCGAGGCAAGGAGGCTGATCTGTTTTGGTGGAAGAGGCGAAACAGGGAGACGTGCAGGCTGAGGTGTTTCCAGAATTGATGAACAAGAAGCATCATCAGATTCAGGAAGCCCAGTGAACCCCAGCAAGCCCAGGCTGGACACTGGTGCCCAAGACACAGGCTCTGGATGGAGGCTTTGCACCCTCTGGGCCAAGTGTCACAGCAAACACTTGTGCTGGGGGGATGCTTGTTGAATGAATGAGTGATGGGGAGAAGGAACAAGATGGGAAATGAGACACAGATCCGGCCGTAGATAAGGCTGGGAATTCACAACCTCTACCCGCCCCTCCACTCCTACCTTCTGAGGACCCCAGAATGAGGTAGGCACAGGTGAGGGATTCTAAGGGATCGAGGGGCCGTAGGGCAAGGGTAGGGAGACTTCCGGGGGTGTCCCGTGTGCTCCCAAGGAGCCCTCACTGCCTTGCCCCAGCCTAAAACTCCAAAAGCCAAATGCCCAAGCCCACGCCAGCCCCGGGGACCCCAACAGACAGTCTGCAAGGAGGAGGCGGCTGGTGGCCAGGCCTGGGTGGCCAGGGCCGCGCGGGCAGCTGAGACTTGACTGGGAAAGCACATGGCCTCTGTTCTGCTCACTTCACCCTCAACGTGGGAAGAAGCAGCTGCACTGTTTCTTCAGCATCACGAGTCTCTTGAGCCCAATATTCAAATATGTGCAGAAGTCAGGGCTGGGCTATTTTTAGCAGAGTCAGAGGGAGGTGATCTAAGCCTGAATCAGCGCGAGAGTGACAGTCCCAGAATCCCCCTGGGAAGTTGGGCTCTAGGCCCGTCCCCCTCCTGCTCCCAGGGCCTGGGTGCTGTTCCCAGGGGCCCCGGGGCCCGTGTTTGGGTGTTTGTGTGTGTCTGGAGGGGAGGGTGGCATGGTCCGCACTCGGCCTGCAGCCCTGGGCCAGCCTTCTTGGAACTTTTATAGAGTGAGCACCACCATGCTCTTCTGAGAAAAGATGGTCTAGGCTGTGTTCTGGGGACCAATGGCCTGGCCGGGGGGTCATTCAGTTCATGACCCTGGGGACACTCAACTCAGGCCTCTGGGCTGGTGGTTACCTCCCTCTTCTGTGATGATCCTTAACGGCAGCAGAAATCTGACCCCTTCCGTATTGGTTCCTGCGGCTGTGGTAATAAATTATCACCAACTCGGGGGCTTAAAACCCCAGAAATGTATTCTCTCAGTTCTGGAGGCCCGTGCCCTCGGAAGGCTGGGGGGAGGCTCCTTCCTGGCCACTCCGAGTCTCTGGTTGCCAGTAGCCCGTGGGCATCACCTGCTGTCTCACTGCATCACGCCCATCTCTGCCGCTGTCTGCACACGGCCTTCTCCCCGGGTTGTGTCTGGGTCCAAGTGTCCCTCTCACTATAAGGACCCCTGTCATTGGACTCAGGGCCCACCCCAATCCAGTAGGACCTCATCTTCATTAATTACATCTGCAAAGATTCTCTTTCCCATGAAGGCCACATTCACAGGTGCTGGAGGTCAGGACTTCGACATATCTTTTGGGGGGACACTGCAACGCCCCACCACTTGCCATCTCCTTCTTCCCAAGAAGGCCCTCCAGGCTTGGGTGTCAGAATATCTGGCGTCCGTTCTGGGCAGCAGGAGGCCGGGAGCCTGACGGTCCTCATCTGCCGGGAGGGGGTGAGGAGCTCCTTGAACCCGGAGCATCTGGAGGCGGTCCTGAGCCTTGCAGCCCAGCTGCCCCTGGCCACTCACACCTGCTTCATCCCCCTCCTCGCACCTGGACCTGGACCTGCCTGACCTGGTTTCTTCCTCAGCCCCACTGTGTCCTAGGATCATTTCCCTCCCTTCACGCAGGAAGAACTGAAGTGCAATCAGGTGGGGTCCCGCAGCAGCAGGTTGGGGTTTTGAGGGGTCTTTGGAGTTAGCCAAAGGGAAGGGGGGCAGCCACGGTGCCAGGACACAGGGAAGGCAAATCCACCAGGTTCTGCTCTGCCTCCAGCCCCGCCCGGCCCAGCCCCCGCTAAGAGGGTACCTTGGTGACCAAGAGAAGAAACCAAATTGTCAACGCCTCCCAGGCCTCTGCAGAGACCAGAGGGGACCTTGTGTTGTAGGATTTGTGTCCCTGAGTGCCCGCGGTTCTTGGTCGCTCAGCTTCCAAGAACGAAGAGGTAGACTGGACGAGAGTGGTGGGCAGCGAAGCAACGTTTATTGAGCAAGAGTACAAAGCCCCCGGAGAGGGAGGGGGGCCCGAGTGGGTTGCCCCCAGAGTTTCTAAGTTCAGGGGTTTTTATGAGCTCCTTTGCAGAAGTTTCTTAAGCAATCAGGGTGTGCTGAGTCCTGCCAATCAGGGCTTTGGTCACGTATCTGTCTACCTATCAGGTTCATGTCCACGGTCTTTTTTTGCTGACATCTGGTGGCTTAGGTCTTACCTGCTCTTTGCCCGTGACATTGACAAATGCTTTTGTGGTTAATTGTCTTATTTTAGGTCATTCTGCAGACGTCATTTCTGCAAAGGCTGCAAAGTAGAATATCAGTGCTGTTTGATCTTAGCTGTCCTCTGACTCCATATTTTCTTGTTGGGGACCCTGGCCCTGACTCCCTAACTGTCCAACTCACTCCTAACACCTGCCCCCTCTGCTGCCCTCCAGCCTCCCTGATTCTGGGGAAGGATGCTGGTCAATAGCCTCCCAGGGCTCTCTCCTGCTCTTGAACTTGGGACTGTCTTGGAGTCAGCTGAGGCCTGTGTGCCTTCTTTGCCCCAGGCTGGACCCGGCCTCCTCCCTTCTCATTCCCAGGCTCATTGGCTGCTCATTCCCTACGGGCCCTGGGCCATCAAGATCCGAAGGAAGGGCAGGGTTTCAAATGCTACATGCAGGCAGGTCCTCAACCGGACCAGACTTTCTGAGAGCTGAGCTGGGAGGTGGGGGAACAGAGAGGAGCTACCCCGTCTTAATGTCAGCCCAGTGGTTCACATCAGATACTCAGTAGAAACACCAGGAGGAGAGCTTTTTAAAACTTCAGATGCCCACTCCTGCTCAGAGATGTAGATTTCGTGGGGCTGCGGGCAGCCTGGATGTGGGGGTGGCTGATGCTCCCCAGGTGATTCTAGAGGCTGGTGAGGGACTTCATCAGACCTGTTATGTCACCTGTAAGCAGGGAGGGGTGGGGGGAGAGTGACGTCACCTGCAGGATGGTGGAGAGGCCAGCCTGGGCTTGTTATCGCCTCTGCTGTTCGGTGATGGGTGGGGGGCAGTACACTGAAGGGGGGGGCCTGGTGCTGGTCCAGGGCGGGGAGGGCAGAGAACCCACGGCCTCCCCCAGGCATCTGGGGTCTGCTTCTCCTTCTCTTCCTACCAGCCAGCGCCCCACACCCTCTGCCCCCACCCCACCTGAGTTCAAAGCTTGCCAGGATTCAGAAGTAGGCTCCTATGCAAAGAACTCTTAGAACCCAACAATAACATTTACAACGACGTGGATGGAACTAGAGGGTATTATGCTAAGCGAAGTAAGTCACTCAGAGAAAGACAAGTATCATATGAACTCACTGATAAGTGGAATTTGAGAAACAAGACAGAGGATCATAGGGGAAGGAGGGGAAAATGAAATAAGATGAAACCAGAGAGGGAGACAAACTGTAAGAGACTCTTAATCTCAGGAAACAAACAGGGCTGCCGGAGGGGAGGGGGTGGGAGGGATGGGGGAACTGGGTGATGGACATTGGGGATGGTATGTGCTATGGTGAGTGCTGTGAATTGTGTTAAGACTGATGAATCATAGACCTGTACCTCTAAAACAAATAATACATTATAGGTTAATAAAAAGAAAAACAAAAACAAAAAAGCCTAACAATAAGAAACAAACAACTAATTAAGAACTGGGCAGAAGACCCGAAGAGACCCCTCACAGGTGTCTTGCTGATGGCAAGTAGGCCTAAGAAAAGATGCTCTGCGTCCGATGCCATCGGGGAATTGCAAATGAAAATGAATTAAAAATAGATGGAACACGGGGCGCCTGGGTGGCTCAGTTGGTTAAGCGACTGCCTTCGGCTCAGGTCATGATCCTGGAGTCCCGGGATCGAGTCCCGCATCGGGCTCACTGCTCGGCGGGGAGTCTGCTTCTCCCTCTGACCCTCCCCCCCTCATGTGCTCTCTCTCTCAAATAAATAAATAAAATCTTAAAAAAAAAAATGGAACACTGAATGGTACCCGCGTGGTCGAGACAGTGGTTCACAAGGTGGGTCCTGGGCTGCAGAAGAAGCATCTCCGAGCAGAACCCCTGGCTAGAAGGAAGTCCCGGCTCACAGAGGATCACAGAGAACTGTAAGCACAGCTGCAGGCGGGGCCCCAGGCTGGGCTGTCACCCTGTTGGGTCATTTGATCCTCATAGCTACTTTGAAATGATCCCCCCCTTCCCCACCTCACTGCTTATAAGCTGTGTGCCCTTGGGCAAGTTACTTAAACTCTCTGTGCCTCCGTTTTCTCAACTGTAAAGGGGAATATACGCCCAGTAAGCATTAGCTAGGATTTATCTCGATCTGGCTCAGGCTCTTATCAAAATACATTTGTGCTCTCTGACCTCACAGAGGCCAGCCTGAGGTGAAATGAAGCGGGGACAGCCCCGCTTGTCAAGCAGGGTCCCAGGAGCCACGGTGTGGGGGTTGGGGGGCCCCTGTAGGGACTGCCCTTGGGCAGCCTGACCCAGAGAGCTCCAGCCTTGCAGACCCAGGCACCCTGTGCGCGCCGAGTGACAATATGCAGCAGGGGCCGGGGCACCAAGATAGACACTCCCCGCCCAGGGCGTCCCAGGAAAAGATGAGAAACAGCACACGCCTCCTCTGCACCACACATCCCAATAAAATATTTATTATTTCAAGAAATAAATCTTTAAAAAAAGAGAGAGAGAAAAGAGTGTCTCTATTGCTTTCCCCCGACAGGTCAGGTCCTTGGTGACCACTGAGTTTCTGCGGCCGCAGGGGCCACCCAGGCCCGGAGAGGGGTCTTGGATGGGAGGGCCCCTGCTCAGCCCCACGAGGGCTGGCTCCCCTCTGCCAGCTCTCAGGGCCTGGGCTGCCTCCCTGGCAGGGGGGAGGGGCAGGCCTGGGTGGGGGGGAGTTGCCTGGTGGGGGGGTGGGATTATAAAATGGGGTGGGGTGGCAGTGTCTCTGAAGGCCCTACCAGTTTAATCAGGCAGGGCTCTGGGCATGAGGAGGAGGGGAAAGGGCATCCTGGGGCCAGGGCAGGCATACCATACAGAGAGGACAGTTGGGTCCAGAGGTGGTTTGAGGCTGGAGAAAGCTGGAGGTGGGGACGGGCAGCATTGAGGGGGTGGGGGCTACCTGGGGGCTAGCAGGCCTGGGATGCCAGGAGCTGGGCTAGGCGTGCCATGGGGCTGAAGCTCCATCCCAAGCCTTTGCCTACACGAGATGCTGGGGGGTGGGGTTCCAGAGCCTGCTGGGCTGGGGACTGAGGCTCTGGGGACAAATCCACGGCCTGGAATCGCAGTCATGCCAAGATGAGTTTCGGGAGAAGCCCAAAGTGGAGAGCGCCGGAGCAAGCAGGAGAGGGAAACAGTTCAACCCAGGAGCTAGGTGGCCCCCCACTCCCGCTGCGCCCCCCAAGTATAGAGGGGAGGGGGAGATGGCGAAGGCAGGAGGGGTGGGGCTGAGAGGAGGCATGAACAGGGTCCCCCAGTCCCTTGTTCCTTTTGTCCATACCCCAAACAACCACAGAGGGACAAGACTGAGCCCTCACACATCACTCCCCTCTCCCTGGACCCTGCAGCGGGCCATCGGGCACACTGCCCCTGCTCCCTCCGCATACATTCTGAGGCCCCATCCTGGGCCCAAGAAGGACCAGGGCCCTCAGTCTGGTCCAGAATTGGCCTTGCACAAAGCAAGGGGCCTCTGACCACCTGCTCCTGCCACTGGGGCCCCTGACCAATCCCAGAGCTGCTTGGCCACGACGCTGCCACGAGCCCCAGGACGAGGTCGAGGAGCCTGCCTGGGGCGGGCACCCCGCCCGTGGATGAGTGGCCCGCCCCTAACCCTGTGCACGAGTCTGCTCTGCCCACTTCCTGGCCAAGGAAGAAGCTCCAGCGTGGGGGCGTCGAGGGGAGGGCGGGTCGCTGGAGCTCGGAATCTGCTGGTGCTTTCTCCGGCGGCAGGGAGGGCCAGACGGGTGGGAGCCCTCACAGACAGTCCTGGCATAAGGCCACCTGGCCCTTCCGGAAGTCTCGGCAGGGACAGAGCCGGTGGTACTTGGTGCTGGAGCCCGCACAGCTGAAGAGCAGAGGCTCCTTCTGCAGGAAGCACTCGCGGCCGGGCTGGGCGAAGGCCGGGTACAGGTGGTTCATCTCTGACTCGGTGCTGTCACAGGGCACCTGCAGCCTGGACGGGCACCGCGGGCAGCGGTCACGGCCCCAGCCTGGGACCGCCCCCTCCCCTCCCTGGCCCATCCCATCCCCAAGCCGGGAAGATGTCTCTGGGGGGCACCAGGCTGGGCTGAGCTGCAAGCTGACCCACCGGGAGGAACCCTGGGCCTGTCCCTCCTGCGGGGACAGGCTCGGCAGAGGCTGAGGGAGGGGTGGGGGTGGGCGGGGATTGGCAGGGGCTGAGGCTTCACCAAGAGGGTGGCGGCCGTGACATGGACACCTGTCCCGAAGGTCCCTTCTGGGATCATCCTGACTCACGGGGGAGCATTAAACCCCCCACCGCGGGCAGGGCTGGGGGCAGGGTAGTTATGGGGTGACGAGCTGCAGGTGAGGGAGGCTGGGCCAGCCCAGGAAGGCGGGCGGGGGAGCGGGGAGCGGGGGGTGAGGGGAGGCTCACTTACTTCTGGAAGGCGTCCTGGCTGTTAAGGAAGGGGAAGAAGGAGGGCTCGCAAATCAGCCCGTGGTCCAGGCACACGTCCGTGCAGGCCCTCCCAGCGGTGGCCAGCCAGGCCCGGAGGGAGTGTGCTGGGGGCCAGGCCCCGGGGGCGAAGCTGGCATTCTGGGCCCACTCCAGGTGGGTGGCATTGGGGGCCAGGACGAAGGGACTCGGTGGGGCCCGGGCCCCTACTGGAGCAGGGCCTGGGGCTGCACAGAAGTCCTGGCAGGAGGAAAGCCAGGTCAGCCGGGAAAGAGGACGCAGATGCCACCGGCTGACACCGGGGGACGCGGCCTCAGGGAAACAGAGGCTCAGAGAGGTCACAGAACCTGCTCAGGGCCTCAAAGCTGGATGGCAGAGGCAGAATTTGAACTCAGGCCAGCCTGAGAGCCACCCGCCCTTCACGGCCTCGCAGCCCGTCACACCTTAGTTAGGCGCAGTTTTTACCCTGAGGCCCAGGGGCCCTAGCTGCAGAGCGGCAAGGAGCCGGGGCTGACTGGAGGGGCTCTCCCTGCAGGGATCAGCTCCAGGAACCACCTGTGGGGCCCAGCAAGTGCTTCTGTGAGCTTCATGATGACATCCCTGTGGCTGGCTGGGGGCTGAGATCCCGGGTTCTGGCCCTGACCCCACCCAGCCCTCCTTGCTGGGGGCTCAGTGTTCCTGTCCGTAAAGCAATGGTCGAGCCACTCTCCAGCCCTTAATGTTGCGGAACAAGGTGCAGACACAGGCCACAGGCTATCTGTCTGAATATCAAATAGTTAGAAAGCAACTGACACCTAGTCCTGTGGCCCAGCCGGGCCCTGCCCCTCCCAGCCATCAGCCCTAGAAGCCCCGAGCCTAGAAGAGAGGCTCAGATCCCCTGGCAGGGAGGGGGAGGCGGGTGCCCAGGCCTCCAGCAGCCCCTTCCCCTGGGTTCTCAGCACAGAGTCCTCATCCCCACCCCAGTCTCACCTGCTCATCCCTGGGGGTAGGGTGGGGAGTGGGGGCTTTCCATACCTACCAGTCACTCAACCAGTTAGCAAACTTTTAAGCAACTTCTTTATCAAAATAACAGTCTTTGTGTTTCTGTGCTGTGGTACTGGGCTGGGTTCTAGAGCTGGAGACCCAGAGCCCCCCCCTGCCCCCCCACCAACCCACCCAGGCCTAATCTCTAAGCAGGAGAGCAGGACGGCCCTGCATCTCCATCCCCACACCTGTGCACCTCCAGGGGAATGGAGACAGGTGGAGGAGGAGCAGGAGTTTAATGGGCACAGAGCCCTTGCGGAGAGAGCTTCCTCAGACACTGGAGTTGGCTAGGCCCCCTCCTCTGGTCTGATGGGGTTTCGGGTAGCCCCCCTTCCCCCCGCCTCCCCCCGTCCCTGGAGCAGAGAGCAGAGGGCCCACCTACTTGGTGCTGGATGTAGGCATGGATTCGCTCCAGCATCCCCTCACAGGTGTACTCGTAGGGCAGGTAGGGGTCTACCTGTGGGACAGATGGGCAGACAAATGGGGCAGGAGGCACCCCAGGCCCCCGTAGACCTGGCTGTCGGGGGCCGGCCATGCTCAGCATTGGGGGCGGAAATCTGGTGTGCCCAGGGAGTCCATCATCCCATCTCCTGGCCCCTCCACTCGGACCCCTGGTACACCCTCCAGTGGCCCTGGGGGTCATCCCACTCCCTCCCGCCCCCTTCCCAGCTGCACTCCCCATCCCCTCCTGGGCTACGATGCCTGCTCTTCCCATAGCCAACCAGATGGATTCACCCCCGCTTAAGTGACATCTCCTCCAGGAAGCAGTCCCTGAGCCCCAGCCCACCCCTGTTACAGGACCACTTTCCTTCCTCCAGCACCTGCATCATCATTTCTGATTTACCCCTCGTGTCTCCCGAGTTACAGGTCCCTTGAGAACTGGACTATGGCCCGTCTCGTCTACCACCGAGCCCACCGCCTAGCACAGAGCCTGGTATACAGTAGGTGCTCAGGAAATAGCACCTCCAGCTCTGCCTGTATTCTGCTCAGAACGGAGAATGTTCACGAAAAAGAACACAACGGCATCTCCCTGTCAGATGGAATGAGATGAATCTGCGAGGCTTCCGGCCCAGGCCAGGCACCTGGGAAGGACCCAAGACACGCATCCCCGGCGGAGGCCAGACCGTCCGTCTAAGCAGCTAATGGTTACGAGGCAGCCTGCACTGGGTGGCTGGGGGCAGGTGGGTTGAGGAGCACGGGGAATAGGGAGAAGCGTGAAACGGGGCGTCCACCTCCTGTAAGTGGGTACCCCACCACCTCTGCACTCTTCTCACCTGACCAATCTCTCCCCGTTTACCCCATCCAGCACACAGCCACCCCGGAGGAAACCCGTGGCTGGACAGGGACATGGGGATGACCCGTCCCAGACTCAGACTGGGCCTTCGCCCCCCTTCTCCCCCGGGCGTGTGTGTGCACGTGTGTGCGTGTCTGTGTGTGTACGCGTGTATCCGTGTATTGTGTGTGTATATGCTGTGTGTGTGCGTGTGCAGACGTGTGTGTGTGTGCATGTTGTACGTGTGGGGATGGGCACCCGCCTGGCCCAGCCCGGTTCCGACTTACGCTCTTTTCCAGCCAGCAGCCCGGGTTGTGTGATCTAACCCTCGTGCCCACATGGGAGTGGCCTCCCGCCCCCTCATCAGAGCTGGGCAGCATCAAAGGCCCCCTCAGGTGTGCCTGGCCGGTCCTGCTTCCTGCAGACCCCACCTCGAAGGGCTGGACGCCCATCCTGGGCCCCCTGCCTAGGGGCATCCCTGCTGCTCCCCTTGAAATGGGTTCAGGCCCCCAGAAGTTTCTCGGGACAAGAGCGCACCCGGGTGGCCTTTCCCCAGTTCCCACTGTGAGCGGCCATTCTTCATCCAGGCGCAGTTCTGGATCCCCAGAGAAGCCCAGGTCCTGCACGGGCCACCACCACACAGCCCAGCCACCGGGCGGCCTTCCCAGCCCTGCGCTGTGCGCCTCTGGGTCCTGACCTCGGCCGACAGCCACAGCGGCGCCGGCAACCAGCTGCTGCCCTGCAGGGCCCTGGACACCCCTGGGGCACACGACTTCCAGCCCTGGTTATAGGTAACTCCCCAGAGGAGAGAGTTCCCCTCCAAATGTCACTCTGCCTACTCCACGGTCACTGCCCCCCGCGCTTTGAAGTCCACGTCGCACGGTAGCTCGCATCAGCCAGCCACATCCCACCTGCCATGAGTCTCCACCCGAGGAGCCAGCCTGCCTGGAAATGACTGTCATTAGGCCTAGTCACGGGTGCGCACAGTAACCAGTCTCAACGGGCCAGCAGGTGCTGGTCCTGCACGGTCGTGAGCGTGGGAGGGAGGGGGTGGGCAGGGGCTGGCCTGGCCTCCCCCCCAGCCCTGCCACAGAGAGGTGCCAATGGCAAGCCCACCCAGCCCTGAGTGGGGGGACAGCAGGTCTCTCTCAGCTCCTCCCCGTGCCTCATCTTTCTTCTTCCCTCTCCCTGTGAAAGGCCCCAGGACTTGCAGAACAAGCTGTGTTCTCTGACGGTGGCCCTCAATCAGTTCTCTAAAATAGGATTATGAGAGGGGCGCCTGGGTGGCTCAGTCGTTAAGTGTCTGCCTTCAGCTCAGGTCATGATCCCGGGGACCTGGGATCGAGCCCCGCATCGGGCTGCCTGCTCGGCGGGAAGCCCGCTTCTCCCTCTCCCACTCCCCCTGCTTGTGTTCTCTCCCTCGCTGTGTCTCTCTCTGTCCAATAAATAAAATCTTTAAAAAAATAAAATAAAAATTATGAGAGCGGCCCAGGCTGCTTGTTGAAAATGCAGATGCCAAGGCCACACCTGGGCCTTTAGAATCAGAAGACAGGAAGGGGGGCGCCTGGGTGGCTCAGTCGGTTAAGCGTCTGCCTTCGGCTCAGGTCATGATCCCAGAGTCCTGGGATCAGGACCCACATCGGACTCCCTGCTCAGTGGGGATTCTGCTTCTCCCTCTGCCCCTCCCCCTCACTCATGCTCACTCTCCCGCTCTCTCTCTCTCTCTCAGAAAAAATCTTTAATATCAGAAGACCAGCCCAGGACCCACATTTTAACCACCTCCCAGGTGATTCTTGGTAAAGGGGTGAACTGCCCGGGGGGAGCGGTGGGACCCCTGAAGGGGGTGAAGGCAGCGGGGTGGTCAGGTTTGGGGCCCACCTGGAAGTCTCAGCTTGGCAGACTTGCAAAACTTTGGTTCCCTGACCCTTTTGTTATTGTCATTTTCTAATTAACTAACAAAATTAAACAGATGTGCATGTAAAAAACAAATCAAAAGGAAAACCAATGTAAAGTAAGTTTCCTCCCACCCCAGACATCCAGGCCCATCCCCAGGGCAGCGATTTCTCACATGTCTGACCAGAAAGAGCTCACGAATGCATGGGCGCGCTCACTTGCAGGCCCCTTGGCAGCCCCGTTGTGTTCTGCGGCTGGAACGTTCTCCCCACAGGACCGGGTATCTTGTTCCTTTAGCTCAGCAACAGATCTGGCTAAGATCTACTGGGCCAGACCTGAGCCCTCGGGGTGGGCAAAAGCCTTGCTGGTCTCCCTTCCACCCGCTGTCCTTGTCCCCTGGGACAGAAGCCTCGGAGACTTGCTCTTCAAGGGGAGGGGAGAAGGAGCAGGGGGAGGATGTGGGGTGGGGGTCCCCTCCAGGGTAGCCATCTGCCTTCCCGGGGGACCTTCCAATGCAGCGTCCCCCTGGGATGTAGAGCGCTGTGCCGCCACTTGGGGCTGGGGTTGGTCAGTTGTCGGCAGCGGCTTCTTTCTTCTGTACCAAAGCCACCTGGAGAGCCCCTCACCCGAGGACTGTCTTGCTCAGCCCAGCGAGGGTCCCCAGTTGCAGCCCTCAGTCAGCGATGGACAGAGCTGGGGATAAACACCCTGGGTTTACTTGATTCTCAGGGAGGACAATCTGGGGTGTGACCTACCCCATCAGTCAGAGGTTCCCGCCAGCACTGAACGCCAGGTGCCGCCGGCCAGGGTGACCTACTCCAGAACACAGCGTCTCATTTTGTCACTCCAGGACCCTCCTTCCTCAGATCACGTCCCAAATAGCTTGTGCCTTGGGATGACCCTCTGGAGGAAGCCACTCTAAGATAGCCTGTGACCTGGAGGAACTCACAGTAGAGATTTCCTCAAGCTGATGCTTAAGGAGTGGAGGGCGCCCCCCACCGCTCAGGGAGGGTCCAGGGGCTCAGCCACTCTGCAGGTCAACCTGGCCACATCCACGTCCGTCACAACTAAAGATGGGTGGAGGCTTTGCCACACAATGTTCTTCTGGGCACTTCACTAGACAAACACTCACCCCCAGACAGAAGGACGGAAGGCCGAGGGTGTGGTCAGTGGAGGAAGGGAGGAGAGGTAAGTAGGGATTTTCTGGGGGCATCTGCAGGGGCGGGGGCCAAGGCTGGGGGTCCCGAGTGGGAGTGAGTGATAGTGAACGCAGGGGGGTATTAAAAAAAATGCCAGACTGCCTCAGGGCCAGGACAATCAGGCCAGGGCTCTGGGCTCAAAGCTAAGCCAGTAAGTGCCCCTGTGTCTATCCCTGCTTGTCTCTGCCCTTGAGCCTGGCAGTGCCCCCAGTTCCCCTGGGGCAGCAGACATGCTGGCCAGCTGTGGCCTCCCGGGGCGTGGCTCTCCCTCGCAGAAGGAGCCTATCACGTCACTCACTTGCGGTGGCCCTGCCGAGACCAAGGCTCTCCAGGTCTGCCCCAGACCCCGACATTCACCCTGAGCGGTACATACTCCACCCCCCTCCCCACCAGGAGGACACACTCCGTGAACATGGGGTTGGGCAAGGGGACACCCGCAGGGCTGGTTATCTTTGTTCAGCCTCATGTCCAAGCTACAGCAAGAGGCGGGTCCAGAGGGAACATGGCGAGCAGAGTGCCATTTGCATGGTCTGACCCCTTACCAAAATGAAGGAACCAGAAGAGCTCGGGGGGCCATCAGAAGCCACAAAGGGGCCTGCCGAGGAGATAAGTTGCACAAGCCCCTCCTCCCCCTCTCCCCACTTGCACATGTGCACCTGCATACGCCCACACTCACGTACCTGCTGAAGGAAACCCGGAAAGTTCTTTCCCTTGCTACTCAAAGGGTGGCCCTAGGCCTGGCACCACCCCAGCCCTGCTGAACCCAAACCTGCATTTTAACAAGATCCCCAGATGACGTGTATGCCATGTACAGTTTGAGATATGCTGTCAAAAGGCCACAGACATACACCAACAGCAGAGTTCCAAGGGCCTCCAAGCACTAATCCTGGAAACATTTACTCAGCACCTAACTTGTGCTAAGAGTGCTCAGGGGCTCAGCCTCCAAAGGTGCTTAATAAATGATTCTGGATCCAGGGCTGCCATGTAAGGTTGTACAGGTTGCTCATAGCACAAAGGTATTTCCCTGCCTCTCCTTCCCCCCATCCCTATACTCAAGGTGGTAAGTGGGGTCAAGTTTGCCAACCCCAGGCCTGCGAGCCTGAGTTCACCAAGAGGGGCATCTTTTTCCAGTAGTGGCCCCCAGAGTCCTGACTGGATCTGAACCTCACCTGGGTTCTCATGATGGCCTTGATGGTTGCTTCAAACTCCTCCGAGTTGTTGTAGTCGACGGTCCACACGTGGGGCTTGCCGATGAAGTTCTCCGCGTAGGGATGCTGGGAGAACACCTGGCCAGGTGGAGAGAGCAGCAGCCTCTTCCTGTGCCTGCCAGGTCGGCCCGTGCTCAGGGGAGGCGCCCCCGCCCACTTGTCCTGTCCGTCCCTTCACACCCTGTCTGCCTCCCTCTTCCAGGGACTGCGGGGGTCCCCATCTCAGACCCTCCCCACTCACCTCTCTGGAGGTGGGCTTGCCTCGGAAGAACTCGTGGTTGAGCGAGCTGTGGGGCGGGCTGAAGCGGGACTGGAGGAAGACGCAGCCGTTGGCGATGGCCTCCAGGGGCGCGGGGCCCTCGTAAGGGAAGCCGAAGCCTATGAAGAGCTGAGGAAGCAAGTGGCACAATGGTCATGGAAGGCTGGGCACCGGAGCCCCAGGAAGCCAGGGCTGGGACATTCACGGGGGCGGGGCGGCCGGCGCAGGAAAGACCACCCAGTCCGCGGGGCTGCCCTGGTACTGAGGGGTGAGGAGGGAAGCCCGCTTCCTCTTCCCCACTGCTGAGCCTCACTTTGCTGGCCCTGCCCAGGTCCCTCCTGGGTGAGCACCCCCAGCTCTGCCCCGGCCCCAGGAGGCCTGGATGTGAGGTTCAAGGTAGCAGAGCGTGCTGGGGCAGGTCTACACGTGGAAGGGGCCACCAGCCACGGTGGCAGGCCTGGGGGCACGTAGGGTGACCTCCTCGGCATCTGTGGCCAAACTGGGGTGAGGACGGTGAGGGCGTGGGGCTCACTTTGGCCTTGCGTAGCAGCTGCTGGAACTCGGGCTGTGGCAAGAGGCCGTGGTTCTTCACGAAGGCTGGGACTTCAGGGGGCCGCCGGCTCTCATAGTACACAGTGCCGTGGATCTCCATGTACTTGTTCAGGACGCCCAGGAACTTCTCCTTCCCCTGGAAGAGGAGGGGTGCAGATGGGAGCCTCGCCCCAACTGTGGAAGGCAGAGCTGTCCGTGGAAACACCCCTGGTCTGGAAGTCAGAAAATGTGGGGCCGGCCTTAGGTTGGCCTTCAACCAGCTGTGTGACCCTGGGCAAGGCCCCTCCCCTCTCTGGTCCTCATTTTCTTCATCTGTGACTTGCAGAGGTTGGACTAGACTATTTTTAGCCATGGAACTGTTTTCTTTGCAAAGAATGCCTATCCCCATTCCCACATTTAAATGCACCCAAATGAAGTTGCTCCGCCTCCCTGAACCGCTGGTGATCTCCAAGGCCACCTGAGGAGCTGGGGGGCCAAGATCATCTCATCCATCCATCCATCCATCCATCCATCCATCCATCCATCCATCCATCCATCCATCCCTCCATCCTTCCATACATGTGTGTGTCCACCCCTCCATCCATCTGTCCATTCATCCCCTCCTTCCATCTAGCCACTCATCCCTTCTCTCTCTCTCTCCCCTTCCCTCCATCCATGTAGCACATTTTTATTGAGCACTTGCTGTGTGTTGGCACTGAGCTCACTGCTGGGAGCCCAGCTGGGACAAGACAGAGCCCTTGTCTTTAAGGAGGACACCTGTGAGCGAAAACCCCCAAACTAGCAAAGGCTCAGCCCCTCCAGACTCCAGTCCCACATCCAGGCTCTGCTTTCTGCCCAGCCCAAGGGAGCTGGAAACAGGCCCAGCCTCAGGGGAAGGGGACAATGGGAGACAGAGCATAGATGAATAGATAACAGCTCTGCCCCTGGGCACCCATCTGACCCCATGGCCAGAGCCCTGAGCCAGGAGCTGTGGTCAGTGTAGGACCTCATTAGGGGTAAGCATGGGGTCTGCCACTGGGTTCTACTTCTTGGGGGCTTTTGAGACTCACAGGAGAGAGGAAGGGATACGCTGACAAGAAAGAAACTTCAAGATCACAGAGAAGGCTGGGGCAGGGAGCGGTTTTTTTCAGGGAGGGCTAGTCCCCAGCAGGCTAACAGGTCAGAAGAAAAGAAGCCAGGTTCTCCACGTCCTGCTGGCTAGCCATGAGGTCGGACAACAAGGAGCTTTGGCCCAGGTTCAGTCTGTAAACCACAGCTCTTGAAGAATATTATCAATGGACATCAAAATAATTAATAATTCACATTTTGAAACTCCAACGGTATAACTTTTCCTAAGGAGGCCTTCCTCTTTGGGTAACAGTCTCCTGGGTAATGCACATCAGCCCTGCCTCTGAGAACAACCAGGAAAGACAGGGAAATATAAAAATTTCTGTGAAGGTAGTGAAAATCTAACAAAGCATGCAGAATTAGAAGGCCAAGATCTGGAAGAAGGGAAGGAGATCGTGGAGGCCAGTGCTGGGGTCAGTGTCCCCCCCGGGGGCACCTGCCGATTCCAGGGTAAGCATCAAGGAACCTGAGCAGAGCTTCTGGTCGCCTTGTACAGCCAGAGGACAAGTGAGAGTTCAGGGTCTGCCAAGGGGGGACCCTGATAGAAACTCCACACTGGGGGTTAGAACTCTGAGGAATTACACGCTGGAAGAAAAAGGGTGGGCCAGACCTAGAGAAGCCCCTGCAGAGGCTGAGTCTGTGTTTTTGTGTGTGTGGGAGGGGGTGTCTTTTTTTTAAGTTTTATCTATTTATTTTAGAGAGAGAGTGAGTGAGAGCACAAGCAGGAGGGGCAGAGGGAGAGAGAATCTCAAGCAGTCTCTGCACTGAGCACAGAGCCTGACATGGGGCTGGATCCCAGGACCCTGAGAACAGGACCTGAGCCAAAACCAAGAGACAGATGCTTGACTGATGGAGCTACTCAGTCGCCCCAGGGGCTGAATCCATCTTAAATGGTCTCAAATCTTATCATTGATTAAGGTAATCCAAGATTGCTGGAGCCCCAACCACAAGCTAAGAGTAAAAGTAAAATCCTCTCTGGAAGAAGAGGGCATCATCCCCAAACTATTTTTACAATTTTTTATATTCATTTTCCAGAACTCCAAAACAAAACAAAAAACAATGAAATCCCAATCAAAATCCCAGCAGGCTTAGAAGAAACAACTTTGAAAAAGAAGAAAGCAGACAGATTTATATTACCTGATTTCAAGACTTATGGTAAAACTACAGTAATCAAGGCGGTGTGCTAGTGGCATCCAGAAAGAACAATGCAATAGAACAGAGTCCAGAAATAGACCCACACACGCATGGTCAATTGATTTTTGACAAAGGTGCAAAGACATTTCGGTGGAGAAAGGATAGTTTTTTCAACAGACAGCCACGGAACGTTGCATATTCACATGCAAGAAAGGGAAAGAATTACAACTTCAATCTGTACTTCATATCATATATAAAAGTTAATTCAAAATGGACCATAGATTTAAATGTAATACTATAAAACTTACAGAAGAAAGCACAGGAGAAAAATCCTTAGTGACCTTGGGTCAGGCAAAGATTTCTTAGATACAACACCAGAAGCATAATCCATAAAACACCGGACTTCATTAAAATGAAGAACTTTGCTCTTTGAACAATGCTACTGAGAGAAAGACAAGCCACAGAGAAAATATTTGCCAAGCATATATTTGATATAAGGCTGATATTCAGAATGTGTACAAAACTCTAACAACTCAATAATAAGAAAACAAACAACCCAATTCTTTAAATGGGCAAACATTTCGAAAAGACACTTTACCCCAAAAAAGATATTGAGAAGACAAATAAGCACACAAAAATATCTTTGCCATCATTAGTCATAGGGAACTACAAGTTGAAACCCTAAGATACCATTGCACATTTGCAGGATGGCTCAAGTCGAAAAGACGGACCATGCAAGTATTGATGACTTTGTAATGGAACTGGAACTCTCATACATCGCTGGTAGAATCGTAAAATAGTACGACCACTTTTCCTAAAATGTTAAACCTAGTTCTACCATATGATCCAGCCATTCCATGCCTAAGTATTTACCCAAGAGAAATGAAAGCATATGTCTGTACAAATGTTTGTACATGAATGTTCATAACAGCTTTATTTGTAATGGCCAAATACTGGTAACAACCCCAATGTCCACTAACAGGTGAACAGATAAAAAAGGTGTGGTGGAATACAATGGAATTCCATGCAATGGAGTAACTATTCAGCCATAAAAAGGAATCAACAACTGATACGTGCAATGACATGGAGGAATCTTGAAATAATTATACTCTGAGAAAATCCAGACAAAAAAAATAAGTATATACCATGAGTCCATTTATATAAAATTATAGAAAATGAAGACTAATCTGTGGTGACAGAAAGCAGATCATGGGCTGTCTGGCAGGGAGGAGGAGAGAGGTGGGAAGAAGGGAACCTGGGCACGGTGGATGCATCATCCTGACTGTGGAGATGGCTTCACAGGTAGATATATATGTCAGAACGTATAAATTATATATTTGAAACATGTGTAGTATACTGCATGTCAATTATACCCCAGTAAAGCCTGTTAAAAATAGATTTTTAAAGAAAAAATTTAAACACCATGATTTTTAGAAAAATCAGGTACACGACAATATGATTAAAACCCAAGAGACAAAGGGGCACCTGGATGGCTCAGTTGGTTGAGTAGCTGACTCTTGGTTTCTGCTCAGGTCATGATCTCGGGGTCGGGAGATTGAGCCCTATGTCAGGCTCCGCACTCAGCAGGGACTCTGCTTGTGGATTCTCTCTTCCTCTCTCTCTGCTCTTCACCGAGCTTGCTCGCACACTCTCTCTCTCTAATAAATAAATAAATCTTAAAAAAAAAAAAACACCCAAGAGACACAGACAATAAAAACAGACCCGTAGGAGATCTAGAAGATGGAATTACCAGATACAGACTTCAAGATAAATCTGCTGAATGTAGTCAAGGAAATAGAAGATAAGGTTTGAAACCAAATGGAAGTGCTCGAAGTAAGAACTCTAGTGGCTGAAATTAAGAACTGAATGGACAGGTTTCACAGCAGATTGGACCCAGCTGAAGAGAGAATTCGTTTAGTGAAAGAACAAAAGAAAACATCCAGACTGAAGCACAGAGGAAGGGTGGAAATCACAGAAAAGAATGTAAGAGACAAGGGGATATGTTGGAGTCTAATGTATGCAGAAATAGAGTCTGAGAAGCACAGGAGAGAGACTGGAGCAGAAGCAATACTTAGAGAGATACTAACTGAAAATTTTCTAAGACTAATGACAGATCAAACCACAGATTCAAAAAGATCTACAAACACCATGTAGGATAAGTCCAGAGAAAACCACTCAGAGGCACATCATAGTAAGTCTACTCAAAACTAAACACACAGAGGTCTTAAAAGTGAGCAGAGAAAGAAGACAAATTATCTTTAAAGGAACAACAAGGCTCCCAGAAGCCAGAAGACAATAGAGTCTTTTCAGAACACTGAAAGAAAGTAACAGCCAAGTTAGAATTCTCTACACAGCAAAATATCCACTAAGAATAAGGGTGAAGTAAGGGCATTCTCAGGAAATCAAAATAAAATGAGAGTACACAAGCTGGGGGGAGGTAATTAAAGCATTTTAAGGTTCTTTTATTGTCCAATAAAAGCGAAAGGTATTGATTTATATGAAACTTTGATAAGTCAAGGATGCATGGTGCCATCTTTATTGCGGCCACTACAAGACTAGGAGGCAGTATAATGAGTCAGCTATCAGGGGGTGAATTTCAAAGTACAGATCAGTGTGAAAGAAGGCATAAGAGGGAACAGAACATGGAACAGGCAAGAAAAAGAAATAGAGATCAGCTAGTGAAATGGCAGATTCCAAGCCAAATACATCAGATATCACACTAAATGTAAAAGGACTACATAGTGTAAAACTAATAAATAGGCTCACAGAAGAAAAATCAAACCGAGAAAGTAAAGTGTGGAAAGAATGCCTCCACGCCCCTATCAACATCAGCTTCCTTATCCCATCACTGGAGGCCACTGTTGTGGACAGTTTCTTGTGTACCTTCTCAGACCTTTTATGCATTCAAATCGTATTTACATTTTCCTTAAAACACATGCACAAATGGGTTCATGTTATATATACTGTTCGGCAACCTTTTTTTACCCATACACACATATGTATGTATGTGTGTAGGCATGTGTATGCGTGTATATACCCACATAGGCATGTGTCTGTGCATACATGCATATATCTGAACTTTAAGTTTCACAAAACAATATTTATTCTCGGGGCTCCTGGCTGGCTCAGTTCGTGGAGTGTGCAACTCTCAATCTCAGGGTTGTGAGTTCGCACTTCATGTTGGGTATAGAGATTACATAAGAAAAATAAAATCTTAAAAACAATATTTATTCTTAATACATATAAGGTCTTCTGATATATCTTCTGATACTCTATTTCATTTTAAAAGGCTAACTGAGACTAAGTTAGAAAAAGACAAATACGACACGATCCCACTTATATGTGGAAACTAAAAGAGTGGAACTCATAGAAACAGAGTAGAACGGTGGTCACCAGGGGCTCGGGGTGTGAAAATGGGGAGAGGTTGGTCAAAGGGACAAACTTTCAGTTGTATGAAGAGTAAGTTCAGGGATCTAATGAGCAGCATGGTGATTGTGGTTAATGGTACTGTATTGTACACTTGTAATTTGCCAAGAGAATAACAGATCTTCAGTGGTCTCACCACACACACGCATGCACGCGCACGCACGCAGAAACACACAGATGACTATGTGAAGTGATGCTGTGTTAAGCAGCTTGATCATGGTGCTCAGTTCACAATATATATGTATATTGAACCATCATGCCGTCCACCTTAAGAATACATCATTTTCCCCTGTCAACTATACCTCAGTAAAGCTGAGGAGAAAAAACCCAGAGCTCTGAGCTAGTTTCACCTGCCGAACAAAAAGCACCCCAAATCCCCCTCAGATGGCCCTTCTGATGTCTGGCCTGTTTCCTCCAGTGGCAAGGGTGAGTCTGCCTCTCTCCCATCCCCCATTCCTGCCCCCTGGGCCACACGCTCTCATAAAATAGCACCCAGGCCTGAGCCTCAAGGCCTGCTTTCTGGGGACCCAGAACAAGACAAGCCTCCTTGGCACAAAATTCACCCAAACGCTCGCCCGGATCCCAGCTGCTGCCCCCATGAGGACCTCCATCATCCAGCCCCTTCCACTTCTGGCTCTGGGCTGCATCGGTCCCAGGATGCACCCCTCAGCCTCTTCATCTGGCCACCTCCGACTTCCTCCAGTCGCAAAGACCAGAGCGAAGATGTCTTTTTTTGGAAGCACTTTCTCTGAGGTCTCTTGCAGAACAGCGTTGCTCCCGGCTATCACAGAGGCGCCTGAGCTAGAGAGAAAGCCTTTCTCTTCCCAGACTTCATAACCTCTCATTCTCTTGGGGCAGTTCCTTAGCAGTGTTTTCTGGTAAAAGCAGACGCACTCCATGCCACCCCCTTCCCCAGCACCCTGGGCTCCCATGGCAGCCTGCTCCTTTCGCATCACATGAGAATGACCTCCCATCCCTCCCCCTGCACCCTGTGGGGTCAAGGGACTCGAGAGCATCCCCGGGGACACCCTACTGAGAGCAGAGGGGAGCAGGCGGAGCGCACGGTGAGCAGGCACCCTACCTGGAGCTGCCTCATTGCCAGGAGGGCACAGAGAAAAGAGGAGAGAGAACAGGTCAGTGAGCAGTGAGCACACAACCTCCCACACGGGGATCACTTCTCCAGGGACCCCGCCCTGAGGATGGGGTTCTAATCCTTAGCCTCTCCTGCCTTCTGCACTGCCTCCCATGACTCAGAGGCCCCAAGTCTAGCCTAAGCCCCCTTGCCAGGCTCACAGTGTTTATCGATGCGGTCCTAGGGAGGGTGGCGGGTTAGGTCACAGTCCTTGATAAAGGACATCTGGGTTTGTTGCAGAGTGGGGCGCTGCAGGGGCAGGTGAGCAGCCCCCAGGCTGGGTATTTTCAGTGACAGTTAGGGACCTCTCTTTTCTGACTCATCATTGGGGGACATTTCAGCATCCGGAGCCAGGGGTGGTGGACAGAGCCAAATCCTAGAGGTGGGAGTCCCCAGGAGGCTGTGCTTACCTTCCAGATACTCGCTTCCTTGCCGTACACCACGGCCATGTTATTGGCCTTGCTGCCTTTGATGAGCTGCTTCTCCGTCTCGTTGAGCTCCTCGGACACGAAACCCATGAAGGAGTTGTCCGGGGTGTGAGCTACAGCGAGACCACAGGGTCAGGACGGGGGCTGCTACCCAGCCCGCACTGCACCCCGGGTCTACCTGGACTGGCCCCCTCGGAGGGGGCCCCGTTTGACAGGGATGGGGACAGGGGGCTGGTGGAGGAGGGGGAAGAGAACCCATCAGTGTCCCAGCCCCGGGCGTCTCCTTCTCCCAAAGACTGCCACAAAGCCTGGAGCAGAGGGAAGGCCTGGTCCCCTTACTTGTTTGCAAACAGGCACAGTCAGGACCCTGCTCCGGTCAGAGTCCTCCCTCCCTGGTCAGAGTCCTCCCTCCCCAGTTGGCTCTGGCCCAAGGCTTTAGCTCCTCCCCTTTCTCTCACCGCCAACACCCATCAGCAGAGCCTGTTACCCCGGTGGGATTTCCTCCATCACGGCGGCCCCAGCCCGGGGACCACCCTCTCTGTCCTGGGCCCCTGTGACTTGCTGCCTGCCCCCATTTCTGCCATTCTCTTGGCCTTGCCTTTTCTCCTAAGCAATCCTTTAAAATTAGGTCAGACCAGATTCCTCTGCACAAAAGCCTGCAGTGGCCCCCAAAACCAAGGTCCCTACAACAGTCTACAGGATCTGCCCCCACTGCCCCCTTGACAGCTTCTCTTACTCCCTCCTGAGACCCTGCTGGGACACTCCCTCTGCGGACACGCTTTGCTTCCAGGGTCCTGCCAAGAGGTCCTCCCTGGCCCTGGTCACTCTCTGCCCCTTACCTGCACTCACTGACCAGACATGATATTACATATCTAATTGATCGTTTATTGGTGTCAGAATATAAGCCCCATGAGGGCAGGGCCTCTGATTCGCTCACTTCTGTGTCCCCAGCACCTGGGAGAGCCTGGCGCACCGGCTCATGAATGCGTGGACACATCCTTCCTTTCCTGCCTCCAGGTTTTTGCCCCTACTGTTCCCTCTGCCTGGAGTGCTCTCCTCCCTTTCCTTGGATGAGAAAATTCTCTGCATGGGGTCTGGTGCCCTCCCTCTGTGGCTCCACCCCTGTGGTTCTGTCTCTGCTACAGTACAGCTCACACTGGCTAGATGGGGAAGCAGGTCTGCTCATGAATTCCTTCCTGGACTTGGCCTATTGTTAAAACTGGCAAGACCTACTCAACTGTCCCCAGAACCCAGCGCACAGGGAGCAGGGAATGTGTCTTAGCTCGTCCTCCTATTCCTCAGCCATGCTAATTAGCTCTGTCTGCCACCATACACCTGCCGTAGGTTTGCAAGGCACAGGGTCCCTCCCATCTGTGTACAGGACCTTGAAGAGAGTGTTGAACCCAGTGAAATCTACTCTGCCCTCCTGGGTCGGGGAGGCTGTGCTGAGTAGGCTGGCAGAGGCCACATATCCTTGATTTCCCAGAACAGCCCTGATGCCAAATACCCAATCCCTTATTTCAGATGCATGTTTTCACATTTTAGCATTTCTGAATTTGAGATGTATATACCTCAATCAAATGCATAGATTTAACATAGTATTTCCACCCACAAAAAGTCATCATCAATATCTGGAACATCGTAGGAGAAATGAAGGTTTCCTGCCCAAGTGCCCCAGGAAGGTCACGGATTCTTGGGTCTGAAAGACCAACTGTAAGGATGGGCCTTTGCTGACCGCAAAACAAAATGATCATTCTTCTAGAGCTTCAGGAGCATAAGAAGGGCCTGGAGACCTGGAGTTACTTCTGATTGTCAGGGTGTGGGCAGCTCTCCTGTTTCAGGAGGCTCTGCCCAGGCTGGGGAGTGGCCCCAGGAGGGCAGACCCGACCCTCCCTCACCTGTTTGCCTGCCCAGCCCCCTTCCCTCCCTCCCTGCTGGCTCCCGCTTGGCAAGGCCTCCCTATTCACCGAGGTGAAGAATCCCTCATTCTACCAACTCTGTCCAGCTAACTAAACTAGTGGGTGTGGGACAGGGAAATATCCAATCAATTAAAATAACAGGGACCATCAAGGAAAGAGCTCCCAGCTCTCTGGGCAAAAGTGAGGCTGGAAGAGGCAGCCACCCTCCCACTTAGCTCACTGGGGAAACCACCTGGCTAGATGGGGAAATAGGTCTGCTCATGAATTCCTTCCTGGACTTGATATATCATTAAAACTGGCAAGCCTCTCTCTTCCTTTTTTGTTCTCAGTTTCTTTAATTTATTCAATCAATTAACACTTTCTGAGGACCTTGATAGGCTCCAGGGAGATAAGGATAAATCAATCAGTGGCCCCCTTTTGAGTGGTTCATAATCTATCAGGGAGGAATAAATGTATAAGCACATAACTCTAATATACTTCAACGTACACTTTTATAGAATTGGATTTAAAAGGTATAAAAATAGAGATGAAGGAGCAACAGCAGATGAGGGAATCGGTGAAAGTGGCAGTAAATAAAGGAGATATTTGGGTTGGGGTTTTAGAGGATGAGTAGGAGTTTGCCAGGTTTGAAACTCCACATCCAGTGGGCCCTACCCCATGTAAGGCTCATTTTCTCCGTGTAGATTATTGCAGAAGCCTCTTACCCCCTCTCCTGCTTCTCCCTCCTCTACCACTGCCCCTTTGGCCATCTGCAATCTCCCAGAATAATGTGCCTCAAAAACCTTTCTCTTGGGGTGCCTGCGTGGCTCAGTCGGTTGGGCATCCAACTCTTGATTTCGGCTCAGGTTGTGATCTCGGGGTCATGAGATCGAGTCCCACGTCAGGTTCCACGCTCAGCATGGAGTCTCTTTGTCCCTCTCTCTCTGCTCCTCCCCCCGCCTCTCAAATAGATAAATAAAATCTTAAAAAACAAACAAACAAACAAAACACCTTTTTCTCCATGACATTCCCAGGCTCAGGAATCTACAGTGATTCTTGAATTACGGTATTTGGCATAAATTCAGCAACAGGTGCCACCGCCGGCCCCAGATCCTCCATGTCCCTCCTGCCAGCCTCAGAGCTTGATGCTTCCCTTGCAAGTGAGCTAACTGCCCAAGCTCTGTGCCCACCTCTGCTCTCTGTTACCATGGATGCTGCTTCCGCAGCCTGGGGCATCCCCACCACAACCCCCACCTCCTTCCCTCCACAGTCCGGTCCCAGAGAGCCATGTGAACTCAGTCCTCTGGGCCTCAGTTCCCTCCTCTGAGCTCCCAAGAACCTGCCTACCTCCCCAACCTTCTGGAATCCAATCAAGCCATTACTTATGTGTCTAGAAATTGCATCTGCCTCTAATACTTCCTAGAACCTGGAGAGTAAGACAAAAAAGGACCAAAGAGGTGCACTAATTTGACAGGCTAAATAAAGACCAGATACTTTACTTCTGAGCAAGTTCCTCGGAACCCTGCTCAGTTGGCTCTTAGTTTAGATACATCCTAACAAAAGGTGCTTATCTGGCTTTCTGACCCAGAGCCTTCAAAGAGCCACAAATCAGATGTGCGAGACGCTGCTGGAGGCAGATACACTGACGACAATTAGATGTGACAGCTGATAGCCTCCCAACGAGGAGAGAAAGCACCACATCAAACAGTGACAGGCGAAGGGGCAAGGGCACCTGGCTCCGCACACCTCTGCCGTCCCCAAAGGGCAGGCTCTTGCTCCACAGAGAGAGCGAGAATTGCCCCTTAGTTGTCAAGAAAGGATCAAATTATTTTCAGCACACTGCACGTAAGGGGGCAAGTCAGTGAATATATATATTTTAGAGTCTCATTAAAAATAGCTAAAGCTCAGCTCTAAATGGCATTCCTTGCCTGACGCCCATCGTCAGAAGGTTCCCACAGGGGCTCCAGCCCCCAGCCTCACTTCCCATTATCCCCAGTGTTGGAGCCTACTGGAGCTTGTGCATATCCAGAACCTTCCAGTTCTTTCCACATCTGTCTTCACTTCATCTGTTCCCTCCACTGAGAAGAGCCTGCCCGTCCTGCCCCTTTGTCACCCCCTAAAGTTCTCCAGTGTACTTCTGGCCTCTCTTTCTACAAGATCACTGAATCCTCTTTGTTCTGGAATGTGCGCTCAGCAGCTCTCTGAGAGCGGCGTGTGATGCTGGAGGCAAAGGCCATGTCCTCCATGTTGGAAAGGTCGCCACATTTCTCCTAAGCCAGGCTGGAAGCCCCACCCAGTCTGCTCCCCAGACACCACAAGAGACTTCCTCTCTGGCTCATACATTCTCAAAGGGCAAACCAGGTTTTCCTGGAGTGGGCAGGTGCATGGGCCTGCCCCACTCCCACACCAGCCCGGAAAGGAAAGCCAGGGAGGGACGAGACCCTGCCTCCTTGCGTGCACCCCTGTGAACCATGAGGAGGCCCCATCTGCCCCTTACCCCACCCGTGTCCTGTGGCTGGGACACTCACGGAACATGGTCATGAACTGCTTGGGGTTGAGGTTCCAGTAGCCCCAGTTGGTCCGGTAGCCGTGCAGAGTGGCGTACTCCTCATGGTTGTATGCGGGTTCTGTCCCGAAGGTGTCAATGACCCGGATTCGGCACCTGCTCCCCGCCCCGGGGGTGGGTGTACAAGGAACCAGGGTCAGCAGCCTCTCGTGTCTCTCTGGGCTGGGTTGCCCCAGCTTGGGTGCCGGCACCAGCCACTGGCCGGGCACGGCAATGTGTGGTCAGAGCTGGGGCCCAGACATTACCTAGCTGTGTGACCACAGGCAAGGGCCTTAACCTCTCTGGGTCAGCTTCACCATCTGTCAAGTGAGGATGACAACAGCCCAGCTGTCTCGGAGTTGTGTGGCTATGCCTGAACCATGGGCCACTCGCTCAGAAACTTAGTTATTATGGGGGCCCCAAGAGAGCCTAGGAGGGGGAGCACTGCCTGGAGTGGGGGTCCCTCCCCCCTGTAGGATTTGCACTTTCCTGAGCAGGCAGCAGCAGTAATTTGTGTTCACAGCCCCCCGACACCCCCAAGATGCCACTGGCCTATCTGGGCTGCGATGCAGAAGGGCGGGGCCCTGGGGGACCCACCACTGCCACAGGCCCATCTTTGGGAAGGCAGTGCTTTGAAGTGTCTTCTGCAAAGCAAGCTTGGCCACCTTCGATGCACCTCCCAGCTGGGCAGAGGCTCTGTCGCCGCCTCAAAACCTCCCCTTCCAACCGTCCCACCCCCCGGGGCGTGGGCACCTGAAGGAAACGGTGGAGACTCAGACAGCGCCCCCCAAGGAGCTTCCTCCTCACCCCACAACCTTCCCGGTGACCCAGAATTGTCCACAGACTGCTGAGGTCGGCACTATTCCCCCAGAGAAGGGGCAGGGGGCGGGAGGCGGGAGGCGGAGGCACCGAGTGCATGAAGAACCCGCATTAATAATAAAAGCAATAACACCGCCTGTCACTTTTTTTTCCTAATAAAATCATGTGGAATAGTCAATGGGACTGGAGCAAATATAATAAATGGCAGGGCTCTCTGTGCTAAATTAAACCCCGTATCCTGCTGGCTGCAGAGACTGGGAGAGATGGCACTGGCCTTCCTCCAGACCCAGGGAGGTGGGGTGGAGGGAGGGAGGAGGAGGGGTGCTGGGCCCCCCCAAGCCGAGGTCACACCCCAGTTGAGTGTCCCATTCCTTTCCCCCCTGCCATTCCCCTGCACCCCCCGATCCAGATAACCTCTGAGCCCCACCCCAGGCTGCCCTGCAGCAGAGAGGCACTGAAGTGACTCCCACTCTGAGTTAGCCGGGAGGCAGAGCCCAGAGTAATGGGGGAGGGGGAAACAGAGGAAGAGCGAGCCTTCCCCCCACCACAGGACCCGGGACAAGGCGGTTCCCCCACCCTGGGGACTAGCCGGCAGGGGGCGAGGGGAGGCCTCCTCTGGGGCACGGGGTGGGGCACCACCCGCCTGCACCCTCTTACCGGTACTTCTTGAAGGACAGTCCCATGTGCTGCTTCATCTGCTGCAGGCCGTGGTAGTCAGTGTAGATGAGGTCGAAAGGCAGGGGCATGGTGAGCGGGCAGTTCCCCCGGCCTGGCGGCACCCCTAAGTTACTGAGAGAAGAGTCCTTCAGAGTCTGAGCCCCAAGAGGGACCCACAGGCAGCAGAAACCCACCTTCCCAACCAGCCTTGCATCTGGGGCACCTGGAGCCCCCTCAGTTCTTATAGCCCAGGATAAACATGGGGGAGGGGGCACTGTAAAGGAACTGGAGGTTGGCACATGAGCGCTGGCAGACTTGGAAAGCAAGTGAACGGGGTGGCCATGTCCAGTTGTGTAGGTTTTTCACTGCACAAGAGACTCCAGTGAGAGGAAGTAGGACTGAGATCCAGCCTGGGCTAGCTTGCCAAGCCGTGCCCCTGGCCTGGGCTACCCACCAGGTAGAAAGAGCACCTTTTGTTAATTTGCATAAATGTGTTCCCTGCAGGGCTGTGTCCACCCAGAGGGGGCACCTTTATCTAGCGTTTGCAAATTGCCATAAATGCTCGCTATTGTCCTTAGTGCAGCTTCAGTGTTTGGAGCAGAAAGCCCTGCCTCAGGAGACATAATTCTGCTCTGCTGACTGGCTTGTGGCCCACGGAGATGCCCAGCCCTGCCCCACAAGGTCAGCCTACCTGCCAGATCATGTACACAACGGTTTTCCTCTGGTGACCCAGTGCCAGAGCCTTTGGGTCAACTCTCTGGAGCCTAGCAGACCTGGTCACAGCTGCCAGGGTAAATTCCTTTGCCTGGGACCCCCTGCCCACCATCCAGGAGCCCCGGCTTGGCCTGACAACCCACCCATCTGAGGGGATGAGGAGGCATTTAGCTTGCCCATTCAGTAAGTCTGTCCTGAGCCCCTGAGCCAGGCAGGGAGTAGAAAAGCGCCCCTTTCTTTGGGGACCCCACAGCAGCCACCCACCTCCCCGGAATTCCCGTCTCCCTTGGATTCGTGGTCCAGACGGCTGTGCTGGAAGGGGTCCAGAAGACCTCCCAGTGAGCCCCTTCAGGATCCATGTGAAGAGCAGACTCAGGGCAGGTGAAGAGCTCTGACAAGGTCACTGGCTCATCAACGGCAAAGGGCCACGATGGATGAGCTCCCTGGGTCACAGCTCAGGCTCCTGGAACCCGTTCAAGCAGGTGGAAAAGTACCAGCCTGGACGTCTTTGCGCTCTGTTTGCTCATGTTCTGCACGTCACCATCAGAAGCTGGGGAGGGGGGCACTGCGTGCACTGTCCCCCGAGCACACCGCCAGAAGTTTATGGTAACCAGATGACAAGGCCATGATGGAAAGATGTCAGGGGAGGCTGCGGGTGACATGTGATGGGGATGGAGGCATCAGGGGTCAGCCGTGCCCTGCAGAGAAGGGCAGCAAGAGGGGAGGGGCTGTCCCTGTGCCTGCTCCCCACTAGCCAATGCACCCCAGCCTCACCCAGCTCCCCCCGCCAGGTTAGAACATTGGCTGCTCAGTACCAAGAGGAAAATGCAAAAACCTAATAACCAGTGTCTCCTATTTCTTATCTACATAGGGAACAGTGACCAAGGGCTCCCTCCCCCACTCGTCCAGCTCCCATGCGTCCCCTCTGTCCAACCAGACCACCACACAGGATGCTCAAAAACAGGACATCTAAGGCAGGGGAGGCTTCGTGAGCCTTCTTCCATGGAAATACCCAGAAAGCAAATGAGAATGAGCACAGACCGCAGGGGTCTGGAGCCATCATAGGAAACGGCTCCCACAGCCTGGAGACCTCATGAAATATTTGGTGGTATTTTTAAGTGCGGAGCAGATTCTGCCTTCTACTCTGTAGGACATCCCTACATCCCTCTTCAAGCATGGGCTTTCTCTCACCCCCACAAACTCCTCCGATAAGACAGATGCCCCCACAAAGAAGCAACATCTTTGCTCTGGGCCACAGAAGCTCTAGGAATAGACAATCCTCTTCCCCACCTCCCTCCACTCAATGCAGAGCCACGGGCAGAAGGACAAAATGATGATCCCGCTGTCACTTCTCTGCAGAAACCAGGAAGGCGGTGGCTGCCCCTCCCACAGGGACCTGGGGCCTGGGAAAATTGACTAACACTCCTGGAAGTATCAGCTGTGGGTGGGTCCGCTTGCGACCACTTATACAGCAACAGGACTACTGTCCCACGTTACATTCCTGGTTGGTTTCCAGGCCACGTGCCCCTCTGTGGCCAGGTGTGGTGCCAACAAAGCCATGCAGGCTTCCTCCCGTTGCCCCATTACTGCCCACATCCTGGCCTCTGCCCCAAACCCAGGACCACTAAGAGGCCAGATGAGCCGCTCTCCCCTGGGGGGAAGACTCCGCCCTGACGTTCTAAGGCACCTGCCATCATCTTCGTCATCCTGGGGGCTAAAATGTTGAACACAGGAACCATTCTACAGGCTTTCGGTTTATTAATTCATTCAATCCTTTCATCTGGGCAACGACCCTATGAGATCAGACCCATTCTTATCCTGCTCTCCTCTTTAGAGATGAGGAAACGGGGAGGGTTGGCAATTTACCCAGGATTGCACAGCCAGGAAGCCGTGGAGCTGGGACTGGAACCCAGGCAGTTGGGCTCCGGAGCCCACATTGCCGCCCGCTAAGCTCTCCTGCCTCCCCGGGCCGGCCAGGTGGCAGACAGTAGGACGGCGGATGGCAGGACCTCAGTGCCATCCCCGAAATCCGAGCCCCGGCTGCCAGCAGAGATTGGGCTCCAGTCCCAGTTCCCTGGGGTTAGGAGGACTCATAAACCTCCTGGAGTTTCATCTTTCTTCTCAGCAACAAATAAAAATGGCTCCGTCACAGGGTTCCTGGTAGGATCGACTGAGGAGGTGAGGCGAGTGAAAGTCCCACTAATTATCATTTCCTCTCGTCATACGTTCTGCCTTCTGAACTTCTGGGCCCGGCCACTCCTTCCTGACCCCCAGACACCACCTGCGCACCCCCCCCCCACTTAAGGCCCTGTCATTTCTCACCTTGAATCTTGAGATAATATCCTCTCTGCTCTGTGCCCCTCCAGTCTTGTCTCTTTTCTAGAGAGATTTTCCACAATGTAAACCTGGTTCTAATCCCTCCCAGAAGACTTCTCACCTCCTGGTCCTTGCCTCCTCCTCCTCCAGGAAGCCCTCCTCAGACCCCTGGGCAGAGAGATGCACAGCCCCTGTGCTCCCCCACCGCTTGCTACAACCCCTCCCCTGCACCGTCCAGAGTCACCTCCTCACCACCGGGGCCCATGAGGACAGGGGCCAGGGCATCTTTGAAAGCCCAGAGCCAGGACAGGACCTGGACCAACACGCACCTGCTGTGTTCAGGAATGAATGAGCAAACCAGCGAATCCGGTGAACCCCCTTAGGAAGAACTGGTTTAAAGGCTGAAGATGTGGCCAAGGAAAGCATATCCGGAGAGAGACAGCGGGTGGGGGATGCTCAAGGCTGATGGGTGTCTCGGCTCTTGGCTCTTCGCAGGGGTGGAGGGGGCTCTCCTAGAAACCTCGGGACAGGGACACCAGTGGCCCTGCATGCCCTACAAAGCCATCCCACAGGAAGGACAGGAGGAGACAGAAACTGGCCCAGAGACTGCGGGTACCCCTCCCAGGGGGAGTTAATGAGGGGCCGCCTGGGGCTCCCAGCCCTAGAAAACAAGGGTTTTCCATTTAAAGCGACTTCAGTGGAGAGAAGTGTCGGCAGCTGCCTCATCCCTCTGGTCACAGGGCCTCGGAGCCCGCCCGGAGGACAACGCAGAGGGGCGGCCACGGGGAAGGGGCTGTGCTTCCATCGCTTGTAATTTCAGGTCGCTTTTACAGGCAATTTTACGCTAAGTGGTTGGTCAGAGCAGTGACATGAGCTGAAAAACGCCGGGTCCAGACAACCTTCGGCCAAAGGTGCCCACGGAGCCGCCGCTATAAACATCTACCTTCCACGCTGACGCCTCGAAAGGCCCCTGTCTAGACGGTTTCTTCTTTTTTTTTTTTTAAAGATTTTATTTATTTGACAGAGAGAGACACAGCGAGAGAGGGAACACAAGTAGGGGGAGTGGGAGAGGGAGAAGCAGGCTTCCCGCGGAGCAGGGAGCCCGATGCAGGGCTCGATCCCAGGACCCTGGGATCAGGACCTGAGCCGAAGGCAGACACCTAACCGACTGAGCCACCCAGGCGCCCCCGGTTTCTTCTTTCCACTGCCAAGTTCCTCATTCCCCTTCAGACTCTTCGCCCAGGGCTGTGTCTCCCCAGCCCCAGCGCACCGTGGGGCCACAGGGTGGGTGAGTCTGGTAGGGAGAGACAGCAGCTCCCAGGGCGGGGGCCTCCCACGCATCCACCCAGCGCCGCCCACTACCCTACACCACGCTTGGGAAGGACGGGGGAGTCGACATGGAATTGCCAAGCTGGGTGGCCGGAATGCATCTCTAAATGTCCCCAGGCCCCCTGCATGGGAGCCGGAATTCAGGACGAAAGGGGTGGGGGAAGGGGTGACCTCCAGAAACCGTGCTTTTCTACAGCTCGCCTGGCTATCATGGGGCCCCCACACCCAACCCAAATTAATCCACCTGTAAGAGCCACCCTGTGGCGGGGAGCAATGGGGAGTTAGTGTTTAATGGGGACAGAGTTCCAGTCTGGGAGGATGAGAACGTCCTGGAGAGGGATGGCAGAGTGATGGTTGCATAACCTCGTGAAGGTACTTAATACCACTGAACCGTACACTTAAAAATGGTCAGGAGAGTAAATCTGGTTATGTGTATTTGACTATAAATGTTTTAAAAAGCCAAACTATTCACACGCAGGGGCCTGTGCCCAGCCCCACAAGGATATGCCGTGTCCCCATCTTCTCTAGCACCCCTGGACTCCCAGCAGGCCATAATGTAGGCGCACAGCACATATCCAAAGAAGGGGAGACTCAGTTACTCTTTGCTAAAAGATCAAAAGGTAGGATGGGTAGATGGAACAAGGAGGCAGGGGAAACAACAGTCTATGATCAATTAAAAAAAAAAAAATCCTCAGGGCGCCTGGGTGGCTCAGTGGGTTGAATGTCCGACTCTTGATTTCGGCTCAGGTCATGATCTCAGGGTCATGGGATGG